AGCTGCCATCACCCTATTATCAGCTGCCATCACCCTATTATCAGCTGCATCACCCTATTATCAGCTGCCATCACCCTATTATCAGCTGCCATCACCCTATTATCAACTGCCATCACCCTATTATCAGCTGTCATCACCCTATTATCAGCTGCCATCACCCTATTTATCAAGCTGCCATCACCCTATTATCAGCTGCCATCACCCTATTATCAGCTACCATCACCCCTATTATCAGCTACCATCACCCTATTATCAACTGCCATCACCCTTTATCAGCTGCCATCACCCTATTATCAGCTGCCATCACCCTATTATCAGCTGCCATCACCCTATTATCAACTGCCATCACCCTATTATCAGCTGCCATCACCCTATTATCAGCTGCCATCACCCTATTATCAGCTGCCATCACCCTATCAGCTACCATCACCCTTTATCAGCTGCCATCACCCTATTATCAGCTGCCATCACCCTATTATCAGCTGCCATCACCCTATTAGCTGCCATCACCCTATTATCAGCTGCCATCACCCTATTATCAGCTGCCATCACCCTATTATCAGCTGCCATCACCCTATTATCAGCTACCATCACCCTATTATCAGCTGCCATCACCCTATTATCAGCTGCCATCACCCTATTATCAGCTACCATCACCCTATTATCAGCTGCCATCACCCTATTATCAGCTGCCATCACCCTATTATCAGCTGCCAATCACCCTATTATCAGCTGCCATCACCCTATTATCAGCTGCCATCACCCTATTATCAGCTGCCATCACCCTATTATCAGCTACCATCACCCTATTATCAGCTACCATCACCCTATTATCAGCTGCCATCACCCTATTATCAGCTGCCATCACCCTATTATCAGCTGCCATCACCCTATTATCAGCTGCCATCACCCTATTATCAGCTGCCATCACCCTATTATCAGCTACCATCACCCTATTATCAGCTGCCATCACCCTATTATCAGCTACCATCACCCTATTATCAGCTGCCATCACCCTATTATCAGCTGCCATCACCCTATTATCCGCTACCATCACCCTATTATCAGCTGCCATCACCCTATTATCAGCTGCCATCACCCTATTATCAGCTGCCATCACCCTATTATCAGCTGCCATCACCCTATTATCAGCTGCCATCACCCTATTATCAGCTGCCATCACCCTATTATCAGCTGCCATCACCCTATTATCAGCTGCCATCACCCTATTATCAGCTACCATCACCCTATTATCAGCTACCATCACCCTATTATCAGCTGCCATCACCCTATTATCAGCTGCCATCACCCTATTATCAGCTTCCATCACCCTATTATCAGCTGCCATCACCCTATTAGCTGCCATCACCCTATTATCAGCTACCATCACCCTATTATCAGCTACCATCACCCTATTATCAGCTTCCATCACCCTATTATCAGCTGCCATCACCCTATTATCAGCTGCCATCACCCTATTAGCTGCCATCACCCTATTATCAGCTGCCATCACCCTATTATCAGCTGCCATCACCCTATTATCAGCTACCATCACCCTATTATCAGCTGCCATCACCCTATTATCAGCTACCATCACCCTATTATCAGCTGCCATCACCCTATTATCAGCTGCCATCACCCTATTATCAGCTGCCATCACCCTATTATCAGCTGCCATCACCCTATCAGCTACCATCACCCTATTATCAGCTACCATCACCCTATTATCAGCTACCATCACCCTATTATCAGCTGCCATCACCCTATTATCGGCTGCCATCACCCTATTATCAGCTACCATCACCCTATTTTCAGCTACCATCACCCTATTATCGGCTGCCATCACCCTATTATCAGCTACCATCACCCTATTATCAGCTACCATCACCCTATTATCAGCTACAATCACCCTATTATCAGCTGCCATCACCCTATTATCAGCTACCATCACCCTATTATCGGCTGCCATCACCCTATTATCAGCTACCATCACCCTATTTTCAGCTACCATCACCCTATTATCAGCTGCCATCACCCTATTATCAGCTACCATCACCCTATTTTTCGCTGCCATCACCTATTATCAGCTGCATCACCCTATTATCAGCTGCCATCCACCCTATTATCGGCTGCCATCAACCTATTATCACTACCATCACCTATTTTCAGCTACCATCACCCTATTATCGGCTGCCATCACCTATATCAGCTACCATCACCCTATTATCAGCTACCATCACCCTATTATCAGCTACAATCACCCTATTTCAGTGCCATCAACCCTATTATCAGCTACCAATCACCCTATTATCAGCTACAATCACCCTATTATCAGCTGTCATCACCCTATTATCAGCTACAAATCACACCATATTATCAGCTACATCACCCTATTATCAGCTGCTCATCACCCATTATCAGCTACAAATCACCCTATTTATCAAGCTGCCATCAACCCTATTATCAGCTACCATCACCCTATTTTTCAGCTGCCATCACCATATTATCAGCTGCCATCACCCTATTATCAGCTGCCATCACCTATTATCAGCTCCATCACCCTATTATCAGCTGTCATCACCCTATTATCAGCTGCCATCACCCTATTATCCGCTGTCATCACCCTATTATCAGCTGCCATCACCCTATTATCAGCTGCATCCATCCCTATTATCAGCTCCATCACCCTATTATCAGCTACCATCACCCTATTATCAGCTGCCATCACCCTATTATCAGCTACCATCACCCTATTATCAGCTGCCATCACCCTATTATCAGCTACCATCACCCTATTATCAGCTGTAATAACCCTATTTACTCGTGAGTAAGTCCCACTCAATTGCCTCTCTCTCACGTATTTATCTAACCTAAATATAAGGTTGGTAACACTCTCTCACGTATTTATCTTACCTAAATATAAGGTTGGTAACACTCTCTCACGTATTTCTTACCTAAATATAAGGTTGGTAACACTCACTCACGTGTTTATCTTACCTAAATATAAGGTTGGTAACACTTACTCACGTGTTTATCTTACCTAAATATAAGGTTGGCAACACTCACGTATTTATCTTACCTAAATATAAGGTTGGTAACACTTACTCACGTATTTATCTTACCTAAATATAAGGTTGGTAACACTCTCTCACGTATTTATCTTACCTAAATATAAGGTTGGTAACACTCACTCACGTGTTTATCTTACCTAAATATAAGGTTGGCAACACTCACGTATTTATCTTACCTAAATATAAGGTTGGCAACACTCACGTATTTATCTTACCTAAATATAAGGTTGGAAACACTCACGTATTTATCTTACCTAAATATAAGGTTGGTAACACTTACTCACGTGTTTATCTTACCTAAATATAAGGTTGGTAACACTCACGTGTTTATCTTACCTAAATATAAGGTTGGTAACACTCACGTGTTTATCTTACCTAAATATAAGGTTGGTAACACTCACGTGTTTATCTTACCTAAATATAAGGTTGGTAACACTCACGTGTTTATCTTACCTAAATATAAGGTTGGTAACACTTACTCACGTGTTTATCTTACCTAAATATAAGGTTGGTAACACTCACGTGTTTATCTTACCTAAATATAAGGTTGGTAACACACACGTGTTTATCTTACCTAAATATAAGGTTGGTAACACTTACTCACGTGTTTATCTTACCTAAATATAAGGTTGGTAACACTCACGTGTTTATCTTACCTAAATATAAGGTTGGTAACACTTACTCACGTGTTTATCTTACCTAAATATAAGGTTGGTAACACTCACGTGTTTATCTTACCTAAATATAAGGTTGGTAACACTTACTCACGTATTTATCTTACCTAAATATAAGGTTGGTAACACTCACTCACGTGTTTATCTTACCTAAATATAAGGTTGGTAACACTTACTCACGTATTTATCTTACCTAAATATAAGGTTGGTAACACTCACTCACGTGTTTATCTTACCTAAATATAAGGTTGGTAACACTCACTCACGTGTTTATCTTACCTAATATAAGGTTGGTAACACTCACTCACGTATTTATCTTACCTAAATATAAGGTTGGTAACACTCACTCACGTGTTTATCTTACCTAAATATAAGGTTGGTAACACTTACTCACGTGTTTATCTTACCTAAATATAAGGTTGGTAACACTCACTCACGTATTTATCTTACCTAAATATAAGGTTGGTAACACTTACTCACGTGTTTATCTTACCTAAATATAAGGTTGGTAACACTCACTCACGTGTTTATCTTACCTAAATATAAGGTTGGTAACACTCACGTGTTTATCTTACCTAAATATAAGGTTGGTAACACACACGTGTTTATCTTACCTAAATATAAGGTTGGTAACACTTACTCACGTGTTTATCTTACCTATATTTGAAGTCAGAAACACATGCTAACTAAGATTACTCAAAACACAAGAAATACAATAATACTAGTGAGATAATGGTACGTAAGATGTTTTAGTCCCTGTCTCTCTCTCTCTCTGTCTCCATCTCTGTCTCCATCTCTGTCTCTGTCTCTGTCTCTGTCTCCATCTCTGTCTCTGTCTCTGTCTCTGTCTCTGTCTCTGTCTCCATCTCTGTCTCTGTCTCCATCTCTGTCTCCATCTCTGTCTCTGTCTCTGTCTCTGTCTCATCTCTGTCTCGGTCTCTGTCTCTGTCTCTGTCTCTGTCTCCATCTCCTGTCTCTGTCTCTGTCTCCATCTCTGTCTCCATCTCTGTCTCTGTCTCTGTCTCTGTCTCTGTCTCTGTCTCCATCTCTGTCTCTGTCTCTGTCTCCATCTCTGTCTCTGTCTCTGTCTCTGTCTCTGTCTCCATCTCTGTCTCTGTCTCTGTCTCTGTCTCCATCTCTGTCTCTGTCTCTGTCTCTGTCTCTGTCTCCATCTCTGTCTCTGTCTGTCTCTGTCTCCATCTCTGTCTCTGTCTCTGTCTCTGTCTCTGTCTCTGTCTCCATCTCTGTCTCTGTCTCTGTCTCTGTCTCCATCTCTGTCTCTGTCTCCATCTCTGTCTCTGTCTCTGTCTCTGTCTCTGTCTCCATCTCTGTCTCTGTCTCTGTCTCTGTCTCTGTCTCCATCTC